AAAAACATTCATTTTTATTGTTGTACCAACTAGATTGGAATTGATATAGCAACTGATTGATTGATTATTGATATATTTGGGTGTAATATATAGAAGTGCATCTGGTTCTACTTCAATAGATGATAGTAGTTGGGAACTGGCACCATTGACAATGGGTTCACCACTTGGCCATTCGAAACAGAGGACTTATTCTGTTTCACAAATTGGGGAGTCTTATTTACAACTGCAAAGCTTCAATGAATCCTCAAAACAACAAAGACAAGATCAGTACAACTATTATGAACTGGGAAATGAAGTCAAGGCTGATATGCATATGAAAATAGAAACAGAAGATCATCAGCAACCCAAGAAAGTAATGCACCACTTCTTTGATGAACTGCCACCTCATCAACACAACAAAGACTTGTGGCTTGATTCCAATACCCACCTCTCAATTTCAGTACCAGATTCTTCACATGACTTCTTCATCACCCATAATGGTAAGCATCAATATCTTTTTCCACATAACTTATTTACTTGCATTATTTTTTATTCAGCATTTACATGCTTATGGCAAAAGAATTCTGCTTTGACCATTAAAGTTGCACTTTGTTTTGCAGGGAAATAAATTTTGTGGAGCATAGGCCAAAGTAGTACTTAAATGCTGGTGGGACGGTGCTTTCCATCTAAGCATTCTGTATGCATATGTACTGTGTCCTTAAACTGTTTTTTTCCTTCTTTTTTGTCCCTAGGACAAGAGCTATGATATGTGATGGTGTGATTTTAAATTCGTTCACAAACAAATTTACTATCCACTAATTTTCAAATCGTGCACCAATTAGTCCTTGAGAATTTCTTGGTATTTTCTTTTCTTTTTCTTGTTTATGTAAGAGTGTGGGGCTTGTAGCAGCATTAGAAGTACGCAGTGGTCTGGCTAACTGAGCAATCACATGTATTTGGTTGTCTGCATTGTATTCTTACACTATTAGCACTATTTCATTTTATTGTATGAATGGCTGAGCCAGGTATCTGGAGTTTTGCCACATGTTGGTACGTTCTATTCATTAGGGATGACATCTTGAATATTGGCTTTTTTTGTGGTTGCTTTCAGTATTGCTTACTATTGAATTAATGGACCCAGCTGATATTTTGGATTTTTATAACCGTTTTGCTATAGTTTTCATAACATAAGTCTGATCACACATTTGGCTTCTTTCTTTTTACTCGTGTGCAATCTTATAGGAGAGTGTAAATTATAATATGTGGTCCTCTCTGGATTATATCCTCATGTGAATACTTCTGTTTGATGCACATGCAAGTGTTTCTGGGTGGAAAGAATCTCAAATTAAGGTACTTACTATATAAGTTTGTCTAATGGACAGAATGTTATGTTCACCCCTAAGAAAGATTTCACCTTCAAGGAAGCTTGAGCCTTGACCTATTGTTGGGTCCAAACGTACACGCAAGTATATGCAGTCGACAAGTAATAAAGTAATAAGAAAGTATCGTTTCCACGAGGATTTACGATCAATTATTTTCCAATCTAAGCTATTTATATATTTAATGCTCAAGTGAGTGTGAAGAAGATAATTGTGATTTTTATACTAAATTACTATGAACTAATAAGTAGGCAAGAAAAAAAGATCGCAAGTAAAGCAAACAAACATTTAATAAGAATTCGATGAGATGAGGATATTCTAGGGTTACGGGATTGACGTCTCTCCTATTGCGTTTTTTAGGTTGATGAAATCACTTGATTTATCTAATTTGTTGATTAGCAGGGTTTATTATGCCTGCGAAGTTCTTTGGACGCTTCGTTCGCCTATTCAAGCCAACCTAAGACTATATGTCTATAGAATCAAACTTGACAAGAATGCATGTATATTTCCTGCAAAAATAACCAAGGCAAATAGAATATGTCTATCCTAATCACCAATCTATTCTCCGATGCCCGGATTCCAGAACTTACTCTATTCAATCCTATATGCAATCCGTAGTTCCCACTACCGAGTTCAACTATAAATTCGTGGATAGTACTCTATTATTAGCTATGCAATAGAATAATGAAGTGAGAGATTAAATAAACAAATTAATATGATAAATCAAGCAAAACAATCGACCGTCAAATTACAATAATCAAGAACGACCCGTAATCCCAAAATAATGAGGTTCTTAGCCACTCATATTTATAACAATAATCAAAATATCGTTTTAGAACATAAAAGCTATGAATACTAGATGAAATATGGAAGAATTGATGGATTCCATGCTCCCGAGTGTTCCGTACTTGTGTTTCTCTCTCAAAGTGACGTCCCCTCCCCTCCCCCTCCCCCCCCCCCCAAAATAGGTTTAGGTTTGCTTTTATACGAGTTGGGGGCGTCTTGGGTCGAAATAACCAAGTCCCGGCGAAATAACCACTTTGTGGCCTTTTCTTGTTTCTTTCCCTTTTCACTTTAATACACGCACATTCGTCCCAAATTGTCTCCGGATAATTCCTATACATAAAAATACCATTAATTAGCACAAAGCATTACATTACATATCCGAAATCTTGAAACATGAGTAAAATGTGAGACAATATGCACACACACTTAAACTCTTGCTCGCACTCAAGCAATGGAACTTTAAACTATACCCTAACAATGTGCATCCTAGGGAGGAGCAATTCAATTTTTATATCATACACTCTACCTTTGACTATAATCGATACCGGCAATCAAGCATGAACATACGAAATTCACATTCTCCCCGTTTTAAACATGTCCAAGTATACACAATGCAATTCAACCAATTCAAACAACCTATCCACAACCACCCTATCTCAAGAGCCGACTCGTTACCACTAAGCACCCTCAACTCGCACACTCACCCAACAAGAGAAATTTACAACATTACTTATCCATCATGAGATCATGTGCCCTCACTAACAAACAAGAGAGTGAATATAGAAATAGTCCACACATTCAAATATGATTTTGAACATAAATTAATGACATCACATAATTGAGCAAAAGTCGCTCACTCTCACAAAGAATTTCATGTGCATCCCATGGCCGTACCATAAGCTTGCCCGTAGTATACATCTCTACTAATCTAAGCTAGTCAAGTCTAGGATCAATTAGGACTTTATGGATTGTAATGGAGGCTAAGGGACGGGTAGGATACATTAAGGAATAGTGACTAACCCTCCTAAGTACTTATACACTACACTCAAGAATTGAACACGTATTTTTCTCAATCAATTCACTCACCGCAAACCATACAAAACATAACCTTTTTTTCAATTAAGCACTTCTACATCCCCACTATCACGAATTAGTAAGATTAGGATATGTGTGTTTTTCTTCTTTTTGACTGTTAGCATTATTTGTCTACTTTTTTTCTTGCAATTTTCTTTTCTCTTTTTTTTTTCTATACACACTCCATGCATTAAGGTTCATGGGCTAGTGGTATTTTCACAACTTTAGTGCACCTTATGGGCCCTTCCATGGTTCCACTTGAAAGCTACTTCCCAAATCTCTCACCTTACTTCGTTTAGCACCTAAATGCCTTCGGATGTAAAGGTTCAACATGATCAAATTAAGAATAAAATAGGGATACAACTTGTAGCGTGGGTGCTAAAGAAAAGGTCTATAGGCTCAAAGAGACTAGCAACGGGAAAATTTTATTTTGTAAATGACAGTCACATCTATGATCAAGCAAGAAATGCCTACGTCATCTCTTAGACTAGCACAACTTAATGATTTCGCTTCGATTAATGCACGGGCAAGTTCTAGACTACAGAGGATAGCACAGAATAACACAAATCCTTACACACACATTGCACATGACTCAATCAAGACGGTTCTGTTCAACTCTCAAGTCAAGAAAGCACATATAGTTGAAAATGGTTTAAGCAATAATGCACTAGGTGACATACAAGTCAAACAACTGAGAAAAAGGCGTCGCAGTAGGATATTTATTTCACTCAGGCATCACATTTCAAATCAAATATAACAGGAAGACAGAGCGCATGCCATAGCCTAATGTTCTTGCACTAAACATGTCAACAAACATCTTAGAGCAACTCAGTTTTCTTCCTATCCTACTCCTAAAAGAAAATACCCGGTTCAAGCTACACCCTTGGAAAAGAACCGGCGCCTAAAGAAAAACAAAGGGATACTACCTAACTATCTAAAAAAAAAACCTTTTTGGTATTTTTAATCGGACTTTAATCCCTCAAGAAAAGTATCCAAAAGATCCATCGTCGGGAAAAGTCCGAGCTTTTTCTAATTTATTTCTATTTTTATTTTTTTATGTCTATTACTCTAAACTAGACTACTTCTAACTATGAGGTCTAAAATAAAAACTAATAATATAAAAAAATAGTTTTATACCATTACAAGTCAGAAAGTAGTTCCCCACCCCACACTTATGATATGCATGGTCCTTGATGCATTATCACATAGAATATTAAAACAAGGATGAGAAATAATGCCCGAGACCCTCTAGAGCCTAGCTAGCACATGATGCTCAATATTAAGAGTTAGGACGACCCCACACTTAAGCACAACATGCTCCTCAGCTTTAACTTCGGGAATTCAGACTTCCCCTAATTTGAAAACTAAAAACAAACAAAACACAACACTAAAAAAAATAAAAAAAATAAAATACATGCTGTATTATCTCCTAACAATCGCCTTATTTATAGTCGTGGCACGACTTTGCTACTATAGTCAGGCTGGGCGCTTTTGCTTCCTCCTCTTTCCATGGAGTTTTGCCTTCTCGCACGTTCTTTGATCCTTTTCTCTTTTACCTTTACACTTTCAGCTCGAAACACCACTTCTTCTAATTCAATTTTCTTTTCCATGCCAATAGGCTCCACATAAGGACATTTCTCTATCAACTTTGCACAAATCCTCATAATGCTTAGGAAGGTTAAGCGCATTGTACACATTAAATGCGATTTCTTTATCATGCACTCACATCTTTAGCTTGCCCTCCCTCACATCAATAAGTGCCCCTTCAGTGGCCAAGAATGGTCACCCCAAAATAATTGGAACCTCCTCATCGGCCATGTAGTCAAGAATAATGAAATCGGCGGAAAATATGAACTTCCTCACTCGCACCAGCATATCTTCAATAATTCCTTCAGGCACTACTAGTGACCAATCTGCTACCTGTAAAGTTATAGTAGTAGGCTTGGGAGCTCCAAGATTGAGCTGCTTGAACACTGATAGTGTCATCAAATTAATGCTTTCTCCCATATCGCACAAGGCTCTACCAACCTCGTGTTTCCTAATCGCCAAGAGGATTGTAAAACAACCTGGATCTTTCAACTTAGGCGGGAGCTTACTTTGTACTCTAGCACTGCACTCCTCAGTAAGTGCAACCATTTCAAACTCTTTCGACCTCCTTTTGTTAACCACAATATCTTTGATGTACTTAGCATATTTTGGGATTTCATGTAACACATCAACCAATGGGAGGTTCAATTGAATTTGGCTCAGCATATCAAGAAATTTGTTGAACATCCTGTCATCACTTTTTTTCTTCAATCTTTGTGGGAAAGGAGGTGGTGGCCTTGCAACCAGAGTCTTTTCGCTTTCTTCAGTTTCTTTCTCAGCTTATCCCACAGTTTTGGGGATCAGTTCACCCTTAGGAGTGACTTGTTCTTATTTTCTTTTTGGGACTTCTTCTGATCCTCTACCATTCCTCAAAGTTATAACATTTACTTGAGGATCATTATCTGTGTCGCCGGGAAGGGCCCCTGCAGGTCGACTAGTTTGTTGTGCAGCCAATTGCCCAATATGCCTCTCTATATTTCAAAATTCAGCCCTCAATTACTAATTATCTATTCGAAGTTGTTGATTATCAAGTAAGAGCTGCTTTAACAACTCATTAGTAGTGTCCTTTTTCTGTTGTGGTGGAGTTTGTGGTACGTTTAAATTTTCCTTGAGGTCTGTTACTGTTCTGATTACCGCCCCAAGAGATGTTGGGATGGTTTCTCAAATTTGGATTGTAAGTGTTCCCACACTGAGTATTGTGGTTCATTGGACCCCTATTGTGCTTTCCATATCACAAATGTATTCAGGATTCAATGGATAATGGTTACTCGTGTGGCTTTCTCCACATATCTCACAACCTATAGACATTTGTTGCACCTGCTGCATTTTCTGCCCTTGTTGCATCATCATCTTATTTATCTGATTGGCTAACTTTGCTATATCTGCTCTCATGGCTGAGAAATCATCAAGCTCTACCTTTGGTTTAAGTGCTCTCCGTGGTTCTCAGTCTCTTTGCCAATTGTTATCATTAGCCGTGAAATTGTTCAGCAGGACTTTGATTTCAGTGTACGGCTTTAGCCATGCAACAACCTCCACAGGCTGAATCTAGATTCATCTTGGATGCTTCATCTAACCCATCAACAAAATATGACCTAGGACTTCATCAGTCTGACAGTGATGTAGGCAATCTCTGAGTAGCTTTTTATATCTCTCCCAGGCTTGACGTAGAGTCTCTCCATCTTTTTGTTAAAACCCCAGAATTTGGCTTCTCAGTGACTTTGTTTTCTTTGTGGGAAAGAATTTGATAAGGAATTTCCACGCTAGATTTGTCACGTCCCCAATTTCCCTTTGTAGGATGTCGTGATGGCACCTAGTCTCTAAAGCTAGGTAAGCCTAACATTAATGCATAAATAACTGAAATAATAATTAAAGCCTCAAAACTCAACAATTATATAAAATAAGCTTTGTAACTCAACATATTTAACTCCCAAGACCCAGCGAATACAAGTCACAAGCTCTAAATAATAGTACTACATAATCCTATATATCAATGCCTAAAGAAGGATAAGGAAAATAGAATAGTCTAGGTAGATGGGAACTCTAGGGACTGCGTGAAAGTACAAGAGGGATTAGGGGGAGGGGGTGAATTGTAACCGATTTAAAAATCTTAGATTACTAAGTATAAATTTAGTCGACTAGAATTTGTGCAGTGATTGATTGCAGTAGAGATAGACTAAGGAAATAGAAAGGTAAAGAAGACACAACAGTTTTTATATTTGTTCAATACCGGTGTGGTACCTACTTCCAGTTCCCTTGGGTCACAAGGTTTCTCTTAGATATTTAATGAATGTTTAACACAATGATGGTTTTAGTACGTTCACGACTAATGATATACAGCAATGGTGATTCATTCCAATATTGACACAACTCTCGGTTTGTGTTCTAACTCTTCCTATATTTTGTGACACTTGTAGACTCAAGAATACAGTGTTTGTACTAAGAACTAGAAAGTCTTAAAAACAGATGATGTAGTTACATGCCTTTGGATGTTCTTCTACTTCTTCCTTTATAGCTCGATGAGTCTTCTGTTTCCTTGTCCTCTAGGATTGTATGATGGCAATTTTAGGAGACCTTTCCTTGTGAGGCATATAGATCTAAGAGAAAGACCCAAGGGTAGCCTTATGATCTTGCTTGAAATGGTAGCTAGGTTCATTTTTAATCTTGACGAATTGCTTCCTCCATTTCTCCTTGATTTGAGCTTCTGCAGATTCATCTGGATTTGATCTCTAGCCGTGATTAGCTCTCTTCCCATTCTTGCACACTTTAGAATCTTTGACAAGGATGACTGATTGACTTTTCTTCTTTGTTCTTTGACTGATTGATTCATTTTCCATGTATAGCAAAGTTCAAAATACATAGCCATTGAATAGGATCTTCTTTCCTTTTATCCGCATGCAAAGAGATGTTATTAGTCAAGGATTCTTTTAGATTATTGATCATTATTCATATTCTATACTTAACTATCTCCCCCTTTTTGATGATGACAATATTCTAAAAAGAGTTCGACTAATTTATGGGTACTTCCTTTTTTCAAGTGTACTCCCCTTGTCTTGGAGCTGGTTCTTCTGTGTTTCTCCCCCTGTCTTGTACCTGTACTCTTTTTCTTTCTTCTCCGCCTTTGACATTAATCAAAAAGAGCAAGAAGAACAATTTGCAATAATAGTACTAGTTAATCAGGCAAAAATTATATACAACTACGTAGTTATACTGAGCATAGTCAATTGACTTGCTCATTCAAGACTTAACAAAAAGAAATAGTTTTAACAACCATCACATAAAACAAAATAAAAAAATTGTCTAATCATCGCAGACACTTAATTCCTTCCAAGAAAATACTTCAGGGTGTTGATCACTTTAGTGAACAAAATGTCATAAGGAACATCAATATCTTTGGTGACCTTGGCCAGCTTCTCAGTTACATCCTGCATAGCCATGATCCCTTGCCTTTTTTTGGCTTGGAGAGTGATCCTTAGCTTAGCAATGTCTGCTCCAATTTCCTTGGTTACTGCCCTGATCTTGTCCACTTCCTCCTTCATAGAGGTTAGTAATTCCTTGATACTTGCAATGTTTTGCTGCATTAGCAGCAGCTGATCTGAGGAAGAGGATTTGCTAGCTCCAGATTTGATCCCCCAGTGCTCTGATGAGGGATGAACTCCGGTGCTTTGTCTTTCATAAGCCATGTTCCCTCAATTAAGGTATATCCCATCATGGCAAAGGCAGTCTTGTAATAGGTGCTGGAGTTAGTTTTAGGAGCATAGAGAGATAGATCCACTTTCATAACTTTCAAGATGTGAGAGATTAGTAAACTATAGGGTAAACTATTCGTAGAAGATAAGACATCCCTAATGCTTTCAAGCATGTACTGACGTATCCAGGAAAACCAATAGATAACTTTCCCATTTGCCAATCAATACAACACAAACACATCTCTGAGAGAATTTCTTGGGCCATCTCAATTACATCGGTCGTTTCATAGCCCATTCTACCGTAATATGTGAATCGATCTTCAAGATTTTGTGACAAGTTGGACTGAGGAATGTCAAAAATTCTTCAACAAAATCAAGTAGTACCTGTCCAAACCTCCTGTGCCCTACCAGAGCCCGAGAGACCACAACTGCTTTACCTGTCCGTGTTGGACGGAGCATTCAAATACGTCTTGGGAAAACACAAGGAGACTGGAAGGAAAGAGAAAGACATATACTATCTAAGCAAGAAGTTCAAATCCTATGAAGATCGGTATTCCTTATTGGAGAGAACTTCCCGTGCCTTGACATTGATAGCACAAAAGTTGAGACACTATTTTTTAGCATACACTACATACCTCATATCAAGAATGGACCCCTTAAAGTATATTTTCTAGAAACCTATGCCCACAGGCAAGCTGGCAAAGTGGAAAATATTGCCCACATGCAAGCTGGCAAAGTGGAAAATATTGCTGATAAAGAGATATCATTCATAGTGGGAAGATATCATAGAAGCTTATGATGGTTGGAGATTGTTTTTTGCGAAGCTGCAAACTTCAAAATAGTAGGCATCGGGGCTGTCCTGGTATCAGAAACCAGAAACCACTTTTCGTTATCCGCTAAGATTAGATTCCCGTGCACTAACAATATGGCGGAATATAAAGCTTGCATCCTGGGACTCAGGTTAGCCATTGACATGAACATCTAGGAACTATTGGTGATCGGAGATTCAAACTTGTTGATACATCAGGTAATCTAAAAATGGGCCACCAAGAACACCAAGATACTACCATACCTGCATTGTGTGCAAGGATTGATCAAGTGATTTTCAAAGATAGAATACAAGCATGTTCTTCGGACTTAGAACGAGTTCGCAGACGTGTTGGCTACATTATCTTCCATGATACAACATCTAGATGAGAATTATATAGACCCCATCCCGATAGAGATCCGTAGACTGCTTGCCTATTGTGCCCATGTTGAAGAAGAATTTTGAGGGGAAGCTGTGGTTTCACGATATCAAGGAGTGTTTGGGAAAGGGAGAATACCCAAAAAGCACTACACATACTCAAAATCGCACATTACAAAGACTAGCTCACCATTTCTTTTAGAGTGGAGGAATTCTGTACAGGAGAACTCCTGATCTTGGGTCGTTAAGATGTGTCGATGCCAAAGAAGCATCTAGACAACTTGAAGAAATACACGCCAGAACATGCGGACCCCACATGAATGGTTTCATTCTGGCCAAGAATATACTGAGGGCAGGATACTTTTGGATGACTCTAGAGACTGACTGCATCAAGTACATACAGAGGTGCCTCAAGTGTCAGGTACATGCTGACATGATCGGGTTCCACCCAATGACCTCAATGTGACAAGTTTGCCTTGGCCTTTTACCGCTTGGAGGCATGGTTTTCATTGGATCGATTAAGCCTGCCGCCTCCAACGGGCATAGATTTATCCTTGTAGACATTGATTACTTCACCAAATGGGTCAAAGGCGCCTCCTACAAAGCTGTGACAAAGAAGGTAGTAGAATTTTGTCCGAGATTTTATTGGTTGCCGGTTCGGAGTTCCCGAGTCAATTATCACTGATAGTGCTGCCAACCTCAATAGTGATCTGATGTAGGACATGTGGAAGGCATTCAAGACGAAGCACCACAATTCTACTACATACAGACCTCAGATGAACCGAGCTATAATAGCCTCCAACACGAATTATGGAAGATACTGAGGAAGATGTTAGACAACTACAAACATTGGCATGAGAAGCTACCATTTTCTTTGTTTGGATATCGCACCACGGTCTGAACATCAATTGGGGAAACTCCTTATCTACTAGTTTATTAGTGAAGCTGTTATACTTGACGAGGTAGAAATCCCTTCGTCACGGATTATACAAGAACCCGAGCTAAGTGATGAAGAATGGGTACATAATCAATATGATTAGCTGGCTCTCGTCGGCGGTTAATGAATGAATGCAATGTGTCACAATCAACTTTACTAGAACAGAATGACCAAGGCCTTTAACAAGAAGGTAAGACCATGACAGTTCACATCGGGGCAACTAGTTCCGAAGCAGGTTTTTCCACATCAGGATGAGGCAAAGGGTAAATTCTCACCAAACTGGCATGGTCCTTACATGGTTTATCAGGTTCTGACAGGAGGAGCACTCATACTAGCAGAAATAAATGGAGAGATATCGCCAAAACCATAAACTCAGATGCTATCAAAAGATATTATGTCAAATTGTATTCGCACTTGCTTCTTAATGTAAAATGATGTACGCTTGACTTGATTCCCGTTTTAGAAGGGATATGTAGGCAGCCCTGCGGGTTCAGTCACATTATAATAAAATTTCTATTTCCCTCCATGGTCGAGAATTGGGGAAAATTTTGAGCTTCATCGGATCCAATATTGTCGCATCAAG